TCATTGTAAGACACCATATGTTATGTTCATTAATGTTTGAGGTTGAGAATCTTTATTAAAAACAAATTGCTTTCGGTTGGATAGATATCTATTGAACCAACTTAGAGTTTTACCTTTTATGCCATAACATTCAGGTTTTTATAACAAAATATTATGATCGACCGTGTCAAAAACTTTTAACAGGTCAACGAAAACACCAAGTGTAAATTTTTGATTTTGTAAAGATTCTTTAAAACAACGTGTTAACTGAAAAATAGCCTGTTTGGTTGAGTTATTTTTTTAAAACTGAACTGATTTTCATAAAGGAATTTATTAGTAATTAGGTATGTGTACACTCTGTTACACAATATTCTTTCTAATATTTTTGAAAAAACTGGAAGTCCAGAAAAAGGTCTGTAATTTGTTATATTGGCCGGGTCTCCTGTCTTAAAAAATTGAATTACTTTCGCTATTTTCAGATAGTCTGGGAAAGTACCTTGTTTAATGGATGATTTAAAGGTTTTGTAAAGAATATCTGTCATGACGTTATAAGAATCTATCACACTATTTCCATTTATACCATATTTCCATTTATACCATCAGGTCCTACTAATTTATTTATTTTTTACGATCTAAAAGCTGTATCAAATTCCTCAAGCGTTAGGTTTGTAAAATGTAAGGAGTTCGAAGTTTGAAGTTCGTCTGTTAATTTATAATTTGTTAAAGGGATTTTGTTTGATAAATTTGCTCCTATAGTGGAAAAGAATGTGTTAAATTCAGTCGCAACTTCATTAGAATCATAATAACCATTTTGAACTTAAAAATAAAAGTGCAAAAACTCATTTAAGAAAGTTTTATGACAAGTATATTTCTGAAAAATTTCAAAATTATTGAAAATGATAAAACTTATATGAAGTATGATCATCAGCAAATTCCTGGTGTATATTATAATGCAAAAATATATAGGAAAAGCAGATTAGAAACTTTAATACACAAAACGTGATAAGTATGCTAAAAATGCTCTGATTTGTTAAGCTATTTGCAGGTATGGTACAAAACCTTCTTTAACATGTACTTTACAGAATACCTATGTATTCTGGAATATCTATTATAGTATTACAGAATATCTATGTAATACTATTATAGTATTACAGAATATCTATGTATTCTTATTTATACCTAGGTATTCTGTAAAGTACATGTTAAAGAGTGTTAACAAAAACGTCTTTTACCTCTTATTAAATCATATAAAAGTAGATATACGCTCTCGCCGGATTAATTATTATGTCATTATAGCAAACTGGGTATGGGATGTTATAAACAAAATGACGTGAAAGTTATGTCTAAAATAGCTAATCCTCCAAGTTGAACGGAATTCAAAATTATTGCATTGTAAAAAAAAAGGCTATGCAGAAACATTTAAAATTTGACAACTTTATTGAAAATGTCTCAAATAGTATTGATTGTTTTTCTATGCGCAAGCTTATGGGTACCACCAAAACAAAAGTTCAAAATTTAGTTAGATGCCCACAGGAATAAATTAATTTCTATAAAATTTTGTATTAATTATATAAAATTTAATCTTTTTTTATTATTGTATTAAATTTAATACTTAGTTTTAAATAAAAGTTGACGAGTACCTTTATTTAGTTGTTTTTGTACTTTCACACTTACTTTCGTGTACACGCAGCACAAGTAGGACAGTGGAACTTTGTTTTGGAATTTAAAAAGAAACTTGTTAACAATATTCTTTTACAAATTTTATTTAATTGTCCAAAATTTTATAGACATTGTTTATCTTGCTTTGCTTTACAGCATTGCCTTTCTACAAAATATCTTTGAATACTCAAAAAAATCTTTGAGTATTCGATGAAATGTTAAATTACGGTGAAAAAAATGGTTCCAAAGCATCTGCGAGAGGTTTTGTAGGAAAAAATAAAATAGTGACTCGATTCTTTTTATTAATCTTAATTTATCAAAAAACAAAAACATAAATAATCAATATAAATAATCAATAAAAACATAAATAATCAAAAAATATCAACAAAGAAGAACTCAATCTGAAAAAAAAAGTGTTATTTTGTGAAATAAAAAAAACATTCAAAAACATAGAAATGCTCTAATAAAATAATTCTTAAGATTGTGTTTATTAAAATTGGTGTATTAAAATGTAATATTGTCTATATTCTTCGTAAAATAAAATTTACCGTAGCTTATTCTCGATGTACATAACGACACCACCATCTCTTATTTTAAACTTTCTCTGTACGCGAATGCGTTAAAGTTCGTTAAGTCTTACTAATCTCTCTCTCTCTCTCTCTATATATATATATATATATATATATATATATATATATATATATATATATATATATATATATATATATATATATATATATATATATATATATATATATATATATATATATATATATATATATATATATATATATAGATATATATATAGAGATATATAGATATATATATAGAGATATATATAGGTGTCATATTTTTGTTTATGCAGATAATTTTCATAGGTCAACAAATTATTATCATTTTTTAGCTCGAGAAAACGCTGAAAGAATGGCTCCATAGTTTTTGTGTGTATTTTCTTGCAATCATATACATGGTTATCGAATCTATCTGTTGAATTGCCTGTTTTGCATCTGGAAATATGTCTATTAGTGCGGTTTCTTAAATTGTTTGTTTTTCCAGAATAAGTAGATAATCCATTATATGATAAGCATATCTATACATTTTGAAAATATTTTGAAACCATCATCGACATGTCTCTAATAAAACTGCTCATTAATTTTAACTTCTTCTTTTAAAATATATTTTGGTAAAATTTTCGGAAAAAGCATTGTTTCTAAATTGTCAACCAATTTTAACTGAGCTGGTTAGCTTAGTAAATGGTTATTTACTTAGTTTATCTGATAATGAAAGTTTAAAAAAAGTTTTTTCAAGTATTTAACCAGTAATTGCCTACAAAAAACCACCAAACTTACTGGGACAAACAATGCGCTCAAAATTTCAATCTGTCAAGAAAATGGGACTATTCAAATGCAAAAACAGTCGATGTAAATTTTGCCGGTTATATTTACCTAAAGTAGATAAATTTGAGACCTCCAATGGCACTATTTGGAACATGAAAAATCACATTACATGTAATAGTAAAAATGTCATTTATTATCTAAAATGTTTATCATATAATGGACTATCTACTTATATTGGAAAAACAAACAATTTAAAAAGCCGCACAAGTGGACATAATTCCAGATGCAAAACTGGCGATTCAACAGATAAATTCCACAATTATGTATACGATAGCAAGAAAATACACAAAAAAACTATGGAGCCATTCTTTCAGCTTTTTGTTTTTCTCGAACTAAAAAACGAAAATAATTTGTTGACCTATGAAAATTATCTGCATAAATAAAAGCATGACACCTTCAACTAATACTTTCTTTTATAATAGCATAACAATGGTAACTCATAGTAACAAAACTCTAATTAAATATTTCTATTATATAACTTTTAACATATATCAAAATCATTTGAATAACATTTGCAATAGTGCTACTGATGATTAATACTGATAGGCCTCTAGTACTATTTAATATTTTAATATTTTCTTAGTTGTTTTGCCTGACTTCTTTTTCTTTCATATATATATATATATATATATATATATATATATATATATATATATATATATATATATATATATATATATATATATATATAAAAATATATATATATATATATATATATATATATATATATATATATATATATATATATATATATATATATATATATATATATATATATATATATATATATATATATATATATATATATATATATATATGGTTTGTTTATAACAAAAATTAAAGTATTGGCGGAAAAAAAAAGATTTAGGTTGAAAAAAATAATTTAAAAAAAGATCAAGTCAATAATAGAAATTATAAAAATTGAATTGTTATATTTGATGAAGTCGCATGTAAAAAAGTATTAAAAAATATATTTTTATACCTTGAACTTTGTATATATATATATATATATATATATATATATATATATATATATATATATATATATATATATATATATATATATATATATATATATATATATATATATATATATATATATATATATATATATATATATATATATATATATATATATATATATATATATATATATATATATATATATATATATATATAGATATAGATATATATATATATATATATATATATATATATATATATATATATATATATATATATATATATATATATATATATATATATATATATATATATATATATATATATATATATATATATATATATATATATATATATATATATATATATATGTATATATACATATATATTTATATGTAATACCTGAAATTTATGGAGGCTGGCCTTAAACCACCAGAGGTCAGGTGGTTTTAGGGCAGCCTCCGTAAATTTAAGGTTTCTTTATATTGTTATTACTATTATATAAGCAAAATTTTGCTTATACAGTTTATAAACTAGTTTAAACTAGGAAAAATTTGCGACGCAATAGCTTTCAATAAGTTATTTAATTACATATGTAATGACCTATTTAAAGTTTAGTTTCACAAATTTTTTCCTAGTATCGTTCGTATAATAGTAAAAACAAAATGCTGACTTTTCCTAAGAAATGCTGATTTAGTTATAAAGTTTCGTTATTTCGATTTATTATTATTTATATTCATTCTTGAAAAGTCTTTTTAAAAATACAAACAAATTTGTATCACATGAGTTAAAATCTTGTATTGTTCGCAAACTACAATTTCATTGAGAACTATTTACCACTAAATTCAAAGAAAAGGATGCTGTTATCTGTTTGAGTATAGTTAAATAAAGAAGCCTTTTCGGAAATCAAGAAGAGTCTTAAATGTACATGACACAATTACTTAAAAGTATATTTAAGTAATAGCGTAATAAATTTTTTTTTATAACTTTCGGTTTCATAGAAACCGAAAGCAAAATCTGACACGGATTTTACTTTTTACCGCATAGATTAAAGTTCTGGATTCATTAAATCAAAGCATAGGCTAGAGTTTTGGATTTAATAAATCGACATCATTAAGGCGTATGTAAAATGAATTTATTTCAGACAATATTCTTTCTTCCATGTGGTAAGTGTTTTAAATGTATTTTCAGTTTGACACCAATTTTTTCCTCAAACTTAAAAGCTAAACTTTTCTTTAGCAATGTGTTTTTTGTGTTGGAACCAAATAAATAATTTTCCGACATCAATCCAAAAGTGTGAATTGTGCGCTATTTCTCGCATTGAAGCGTCAAAGTATGGATCTTCATTTAGTTCAATTGTGAAGACGTGTGCATTAAATAATTTAGAATGCATTACATTGTGTCACGACTCTATTAAGTTAATAGCAATTATGGATTCTTCAATAAGAGTTACTTCTTGTAAGGTCAGCCTTTTAATATAAATAGCTATACATGTTAATGTAGATGTTTTTATTTTTGTAAAGCTAAGAAATTTATTACATTGAAAATAGAGCAAATAATAAAAAATTAGGGCAATAACAAAATAAATTTAGCATTTTAATTTTTACTACCAGATAATAATGACGTTAAGCTGATTGGGCTAATACTAAGTTTCGTTGGTGTAAAAGTCTAAACACGATCGGCTTGGCGTGGATATGAGCCAAAAGATATCAAAGTAGGATATACTCAATAGGAAATTTTATTTCCATGCCATAGACGAGAAAATTATTTTGAAAAAATAAATTATTAATATATAATTAAATTAAAAGATTTCGATCAAAGTTTTTTTGAGCATGCCGACGTCCTAAATTTATTATTATTTTTATTATTTATCATAAAGTCATATTCTTATTTTTAATAATTAGATATTAAAAACGTTTTTAAAAAAATATCTTTTAGTATTCATTAAAAATTTTGCTTATATGTTGTCGAATTACATCACCACCAACAACAAAAAAATTCACAATCTTTAACTAGAGATAGACCGATTCAAAAATATGAAAAAAATTCCAATTCTTATTCTGATTTTTCGTTGCGATTCTGATTCTTTGCCGATTCCAATTCTTTTTCGGTTCAAATTATTTTAAATACGCTAATATCAATGTAATTAAGTAATAATATTAATGTAATTAAGTTGATGATTATGTACTTGGTAATAAAAAACTCATTGTTAACTTAACTCATACAAATTTTAATGGTGAAAATACCGACAACGTTTCTATTGGTACATATGGTTTGGTTTAATAATTAGTATAATAGTGATACGCAGAATGTATGTAGCAGCACGTATGTTGTATAGAACTTTATATTAATAAGTTACAAATAAAATTGTCAGAACTTATAGTATAAAGGATCTTAAAACTTTGAGTATTTACATATAACCTACCCTACCGTTAGTACAAATTGCTAAAAAATTGGCAGGTGCTTGTTTAAAAATATGAGCATTTTCCATCTAAAAGTAGTTTTATCAAGGCACAGCCGATGCATGCAATCAATAAAAAACTGCCTAATCATGTCTGTGCGCAACTTGACAAAATAAGTTGAGATTTAATTGGGGTTTGTCAACTTTTTATTCCAAAAATCTTATTTCTCACCATTATCATTTAAATAGTTTGTTTCACTCTTTTTATCCTGCAAAGTTTAATGCTTTTCACAAAGCCTACGTCTCAGCTTTACACTCTAAAGCCTACGTCACAGCTTCACACTCTAAAATATATGTTGTAGCACCTGTACACTCTAAAGTCTTGGCTTTACTTTTAATATTCTATTTTCGTATAACAACTCATTCTGAATTAAAATCTTTACATCAATAACACTATTCATTAGAAAATCCAAATTGGTAGCTGTTTTTTTGCTTTAACAAAGTGCCCTGAAATAAAACTGGAAAACTATTAGTGTAGACCGGGGCTAGTTGAGCATAGAGGCAAGTTAGGCAGTTAAAACATCTCAAAAATTACGCATCAAGTGCAACGTGTTAATTAACATTTAATCTAAGCTTGATTTTGCGTTATGGCATAATTTTTTAAAGCGTTTGTTTCAAATAAAAAAGGATTAGTTGAATCAGCAATTAAAAAAATTAGCCATTGATTGCAGTGGTATCCTTATCAATTGCAGTGGTATCTTCATAGATTAGGGTAATATCCTTAACATTTTATTCAAAACTTCATACTAAATTTGCAAAAATTATTACAAGTAACTAAATTCTGCGTCATAAACTGTTTGAGATTAGGCATAAAAACGTCCTTGTAAAACCCTTAATTTATAATGATATCTCAAAACACAAGAAACTTCTTATAAATCAAACTAAATATTAAGTGCTGATTAACAAGTTAGTATTTGCTGATTAACAAGTTAGTAAATCTGACATTTAAACTAATTTAAATTGTTAAAAAATGACATATAGGATCAAAAGCAATCAAAATGTCACTAAAATGTATATAAACCTATGAAAAGTAATACTTTATTTTTATCTAATACTTTTAATTTATATTGCATTTCATACAAATTTATAAAAAAACAATTTTTAAAACTATTTTTTAGGCAACTTGCTGTGAAACTAATCTATGTAATAATGATGCTCTTCTTAATAGTGTCCCTTATTACAATGATGCTATGGAAACTACTGGAGTGTATTACAATAATGGTGCTATGCAAACTACTGGAATGTATAATTACAATGGTGCTATGCAAACTACTAGAATGTATAATTACAATAATGCTATGCAAACTACTGGAGTGTATTACAACAATGGTGCTAAGCAAACCACTGGAATGTATTATTACAATGGTGCTATGCAAACTACTGGAATGGCATTTTTATACTGGAAAATTTTCTTCGGAATTTTATTTGTTAGTTTAGCGCAGAAATATTTGCTTTAGATAAATTTTTGTTTTTTAATTTATTACCCAATTTTTTAGTAACATGATGGTCTAGCCATTATTTTTTTATATATATTGTTTAAAATCTTGTCATTTCTGCAATGTGATTTCTTCAACGCATGTTTTGCAAAAAAAAAAAAAAAATATATATATATATATATATATAAATGTATATAAAGTTTACATTACAAAAAAAAAACTTTGTTATAATGATGGAAACTTAACAATTTAATATTATTTATATAGTGTTTATAAGTTTTTAACGTATTTAAAAATTTAACTTTTTTATTTTATTTACACGTTTTTTAAACTTATTTTTTTAAATTTAATATGCCTCTTTTACTGTTAATAGTAATTATTATGTACATGTTACAGTTACAGTAAGTTTATCTGTTACAGTTTGACTTTTTTTAAGTAAATAGTTTTTGGTTAATTTACAAAATAAACTACAAACGTTTTATTCCTAATAATAATAAAAAGTTATAGACCGCGGACCATAGTATAAAAAGACGCTTTAAAGTTAACTTACGCGGTGCAGTCGCGAGATCTAAAGAATTATAATGTAAATGAGCGATTTAGGTTGTGAAGATTCAAAAAAAAAATTTATCAATTCAAAACCCCGCAGTTCTTGACTTATCGAGCTTCGACAAACCATCTAAATGATCTATCGATTTTTTAAGATTATTTGCATTTACTATAGAATTTTTTTTTTCTCGGTAATGTAATTGGATTTTTAATTTCTAATAATTTAAAGACAAAAAAAAATTATTTTTTTTAATGCAATAACGAATGTATTACATTAACGTGAAAAAATATCGACTTTATCGATTTATAATCAATTTAGGCAGTAAAACAACTTTTAGTTTGTTCAGTTACATAGATTTGAACACTTTAAAGTCAATTTTATGTACGAGCAGCGTTTAGTTTCACAACCAATTGTATAATTACACTTTAGGAAGTTCAGTGCACTTTCAAGCGGTAGTCTGGGTTAGCGCAAGATTCATAAACCTTTCAACGATTTCTGCTTCACTAATTAACCTAAATTACGCATATGATTAGTTGCATTTTGTTCATTATTTCTTTGGTCAGGAGCTTAGGAAAATAGTCATGCAACTTTTGTTTTCTGCCAGACGTAGATGTTGCACTTACCATTATTATAGCATCTTAAAGAAGATTTTTATTATTTAGTTCAAAGCAATATAAACAAATTATGTAGCTACGTTATGTACCACCCATGTTCCAAGTTACTACTTTTTAATTTAACTACCTAATAACTTTTATCAAACATTCAAAACTAACTTCAAACTTTCTCTTTATATATAAAAACAGTATACCAGCATAAAACAAATCTTCTAAAAAAAACAGGAGCTTAGTAATATTTTATGGCTTCTTAAAGCATTGATATAGGTACTTTTGAATCGATAACTGGAAACCATATCTCGGGATGCTGTCAAATTTCGATAGTGGTTTCTATCTTAGGCTCATATGGTTCATATACGAAAAACCGTATTTTAAAACTGTAAGTATACCTAATATAGATTTGCAACTAGAAACTATGCAACTAGAACTAGAAACATTGAATTCTCGCTGATGTTAACATAAAATAGCAAAAATTTAAGATCTATCCATAAGGTACAAGTATGTACGAAAACCAATGTAAATATTGCAAAACTGCTTTTAAATTGTCGAATATATAAAAGAGAAGTTTTATAATATAATTTGTTTATTCTAAATAAAATAACAATTAAAACTACTTGTTGTTAGACAGCTTATCAAAGAATATAAGAATACTTATCAAAGAATTAAGAAAACTTATCAAAGAGTTTTTAATCGTGTATCTTCTGTCTTCACGGTTATTTCGGAATTTAAAATTTAAACTGTAATTAAAACTACTTTTTTGAGCAACTCGTGATTGACACAAAATTCCTTTTCAATATGAGTCGTAAAAAATATTAAGCTGCTTATATTGAATTTTACAGACAAAACATATTAGACCACAAGCCATCTTATTGTATCTTTTAAGTTCGTAGTGCAGTAATGACCTCTAACCGTTTTTCAAACTTTTATGGGTTTTAAAGTATAATAAATCAATGGTTAAATTTCTTCAGCTGGTAAATTCAGTTTTAAAGATCTCTTTTCAAATTTGCAATTTTCATTCTTAACATGCATGTTTCGATTCCTCTATGCCATATTTATTCTTATCGCTTTAATATTTGTTAATTTTCAGAAGATAAACTCAAAAAAAGAACCATAAAATCTAAAAGAAACTCTAAAATTATATTGTGCAAATTACAAAACAATATACAAAATCAATAATAATTTTTATTATTCATAAATTAAATGTCAGCTAAGTGCAACAAACCAATACGTATTGTTCATGCAAGTGGAATCATTGGAGTGTTGAATAAGTTTTCAAAAAAAAAACGTTTGAAAATTTCAGCTTAAAAAGAACAAAACGACTTTTTCTAACGAACGAAGAAAAGCTATTGCGGAGAATTTTTTTATTTGTTCGAAAAGATGTTTCATTTAAAGATCTTTATGCTACAGATTTAAATAATTAAAAATTTTGAATTTTGAACAGAAACGTCCAAAATTTTGCGGACAGGCATAACAAAATTAAACTTTACTAACATTTTAGCGCATAAACCACTAGAGCTATCATATTATATACCAATTAAAAGATTTTCATGTTAACAATTATGTTTTGAGCAAATAATGATTTTTAATTAAATGTTAAAAACTGGTTTACAAAATAATAATTTTTGATTAGTTCAAAAGTTTGCGGACAAGCTGAAGCTTTTTATATTTTCCCCACAAAACTGCTAATTTGCTAATTTTATAAACAAATACTTTGTGGAAATAATTAACAAACTTGATTTATAAGTGATTGAGATCGTGAAATCTAAGAATCATCTCCTGTAAAAAAATTGATCTTAAGATTAGATCAAAATGGAAATTCGTTTCGTAAAACAACACAGCTTTATCGAGTCGGTAAGTCTGCTGTAAGACAAATTATGAAAAGAAAAGAGCTTACTAGATCTAGAACAAAATTTAATCAGGAAAAAAAAAAAAGCTCCTGATACTAAGCATAGAAAGTTCCTGTTTGATTGCTGTTTATATAAATGTACAAATGAGATGTTTCTATAGAATGAATTGTAGTATTTCTACTATAAAACGTTGTTTACGTCACGCTAATTTATTTGAAATACGCCCAGTTAAAAAGACATTAGTTTCCTTGAAAAACTGTAACGCCCGAAAAGAATTTGCATCAGGGCATCTAAAGTGGAGTAGTCAACATTGGCCAAAAGTTCTTTTGAGTGATGAAAAGAAGTTTATACTGTTCTGGTCAGGTGGAATCAAGTATGTTCTATGTCCAGTAGGTACAAGATACGATCATAAACACCAAATGCTTACCGTAACACATGGAGGAGGTATTTTAATGGTTTGGGGATGTTTTAGCCAGTATGGAATTGGTCCGCTCCATAGAATTACTGAGACTATAAACCAAAAAAATTATAAAGATATATGTAAGACTATTATGTTGCCTTATGCAAAGGATAAAATGCCTTGAGGATGGGTATACAAACAGAATAACGATCCCAAACATGCAGCCAGATCGGTTTTAGATTTTTTCAAAAAGAATAAAAATATTGTTTTGAAGTGGCTATCCAAATCACGTGACTTAAATCCAATTAAAATCTATGGGAACATGTTGACCGTCAAATAAAAGGAATCAAGTCTACAAATCATGCTGATTTATTTAATAAAATGAAAGTAACATGGGACTCTATTAGAGGAGAGTGTGTATGAAAGAGCCAGTTTTAAAAAGGTATGAAAAAAAGTCAATTTCGATTAATTAAATTTTTTTTTTCTTTAATTAAATAGTTACTTTATTGGGTAAGTTTATAAAATTAAAATAAATTGATTAACAATACTAATAATCTATTATAAACCTGTTTTTGAAAAAGGGAGAAATCAGCTCTTTCATAACATCTTGTTAACGAAAGAGCCACACTGTGCTATGAATGAGCCGTAACGTTTTTTCTAAAACTAACAAGTCTTAGAGTAAGTTATAAAAACAAGTTTTGTTAACTAGACTTCTAAAAATCAGATTGTACTTTAATTTAAAGTCAAGAGTAATTGATGAAAACAAGTTTTGTTAAAAAGACTTCTAAAAATCAGATTGTACTTTAAGTTATATAATTCTATGATAATCAATGATAAAACAAATGATAAAACAGCTTTAATAATAGTTTCACCATATTATTAAAAAATTACGTCGCTTTTCTTAGTTAATACTTGTGAAGACATGTTTTTTTAAAGATAAAAATTATTAAATGAGAATGAAAAAAACAAAAGTATTAAAATACACTATTCAAACGTTTATAAAAAATTTTATATACACTAGTCGAAAGAACAAATTGTTTTGACTGCATCTTGACGGTAAATGTTATCTACGAATCATGGTGATTATAAGGCTTTTCACATATATTAACTATGCTAGTGATATATGGGTGAATACAATAATACAAAATAAGTTTTGACAAAATGTGTGGAAGTTTGAAACAAAAATAATATTTAATTATTAAAAAAATTATTTCAGCTTTAGTAAAAACTTTATTATTATTTGAATATATTTTTTAAGATTCAAACGCACCTACGTTTTACGACTACAGGAAAAGTCATTCAAACAATTAATTTCAATACAATATGATCAATAAAGCATTACGAAAAACGATGAAGTCGTTAATGCGCTAAACAGTTACTTAATTTAAAAAAAATTGCATAAAAAAGGCCGGCTTTTTCATAGCATAAAAAAAAGTCTCTTACAAAAAATTGTATGGTATAAAAAATAACCTAAAATTAAACATTTTTTACAGAAACTTTAATCTAATATTATTTGTGGAAAAGAAGGACACATATATATAACAATGCAGCATATATGTTTTATCAAATAATAAAAAATTCTTTATCTTAAAAATAAATAAGTAAACCCCATAAAAAT